ATGGTAAAATGATGGCAAGATGCCATGGTACCTGAAGAGTGGCATGGAGAAGGGACAGCCAAATAGCTAAATGGTGGGTTGAGGCTAGAGTTTTCACCAGTGGGGAACTACCCATCTCTAAATTCCTGCTTTAATGTTGCATAGATATTTTCTCAATATTTCCTCCTGTGCTCCAGCTGAATCAGAAATTAATTGGGTTAACGCAGAAGGATAGAAGAAACCTGACAATATGTTAGCAATACTGCACATGATCAATTGAAGAAACCCACAAATCCAATTTTATTTTCTATGCCTTTTTTATACTCAGTGAAATCCAGGAGCAGTATTTGTTGCCATTTTACTTAGCATATAATCTCTCTTTAGATAATTCTGTCAACTCCCATAAGCACAACATGAAGCTATTCTTCACCAACATATTTATACAAATGTATTGTTGCAATGTTTGAAGGTAAAAATTCAAGCTGAGCAATTTGTGCTTAGAATGACCAAATAATGTGACTTCCAGGTTATTCCTACAGTAACGTTGACCATAAGACTATGGCATGGGGGAGATCAGTTTCATAGTGTATATACAGCAATGCAAATTTTTGTCTGGATGTGTCCATGCAAGCTTTAAACAATGTAATCAAAAACCTGTTACAGCGGTGAAGGGGGAAAGGCTGAGCTTGTCACAAAATTCATTTAAAATGTTAGAAAAAAAAAATAAGGATATATTCTGAAGGTAGGATGATATCTAACCAAAATATAAAACCATTCAAATATCAGACAGGATCTTGATGGGTAGTTTCCTTGACTTCTAATATAGAGAACAATGATGTTCACTGCTTAACAGTATTTAATTAAAAATATATTGTTGGTTTGGATGTCAAACCTATTTTTTATAATAATTTTTATTAAAGTTTACAGACACAAAAATAAAAAAATGAATACAAACTAAGAAAATATAAAAAGTAAAAGAGAAAAGAGAAAAAGTGCAGAGAAAAAGAAAAAATGAAGAAAAAAGAAATATAAGGAAATGACTTCCCCCTTCATCAAGACAAGTACAAATAATTTCAGTAACTTATCACCTTCTCTGACATTTCAACGAAGGAGCTCTTCTTTCCATATCTCATCTGTTATCTATAAACTGATTATAAAGCCTCATCTTTCAGTCCTAATCAGCAAAAGTCCATTAAGAGTTACCAGAAATAACAACATATATATTATTTTAACACATAACTTATCACTTTCTCTAAAAATACAGCAAAAGATTTCTTCTTCCCATATCTTATCTCTTATCTATAAACAAATCTTTAAAGCATTGTCATTCAGTCCTAGTTGGAAAAAAATCCATTTGGAGCCACCAGAAATAACAACACACACACACACACACACACACACACACACACACACACTAACCTTGATCAAATAAACCCACTTTGGATTCCTTCTATTTACTTTTAAGATTATTGATCTTTATTCTCTTCAAATAGTGTCTCACATCGATTTCTTATCATTTTCTCTTTGCCTCCTCTTTTTTTTTCTCTCTCTCTTGACTTCCTCATAAGTCTAACATGTCTTCTGTAAACACAGGAAAGTTATCCAAGTCACTCTTCTGATTTATTATTTGTACATATCCCTTAATTATTAAGACATCAGCCAGTTTCATTTGTAAATCCAGTGTAACATCATTTTCCATATCATTCTTGTAGCCTGACATTTTAAAATCCACTTTCAGATCAACATTCTAATCAGCCTCAGTCTTTATTTTATCCAGTAAAATCTGTTTCTCTTTTTTATAACTTATTTTGAATCCATTTTTATAATAGCAGACAATCTTAAGACTAATTGCTGAGTGCATTCTTCTCAAATGTCCTTGAATTCTTCTGTAATCAATTAATATTGCTCCATTCTACATTAACGGATCTCTTATTTAATTATCATCTTTAATACTTTCTGGTTCCCTCTAGTCAACCTTCAAAGTCCCCTCTTATCATTTTTTTTTCTAATCAGCAACACTTTCCCATGAGAAGGTTTCTTGCAGTTAGTTTCAAAATCTTCATATATATATATATATAACATTTTAAACAACCCACAGGAAGTATTCTTGCAATTAAATTCAACATCTTATTTCAAGTCAATCAGGCCCTTTAATCTGTTTATAACTTTCCAAAATCAACATTCTAGTCACCCTTTTGCTGTTTATTCAAAACAGCAAACATTTAAGGAATATATATATTCCTTAAATTTGCATGACACTTCTTTCATCAAGGATAGAAGGAAACTCACCTGGTGTAATGAAACATGCCCTTTTGAAGGTTCTTAATATCCAAAAAGCCATTAACGAGCAATTTCCAGAAATGATTAAGAAAGGAAGTATGCAAACCCAGTGTCCTTTTGAAGGCACTGAACTGCAGCTCGGGCAAGACGACTTTCCCCTGGCTCCAGAGCTATAAAACCCACTAGAGACAGCAGTCTTATGATCTCCTTGCAGGAAGCCACTGTATGGAGTGCTTGTGAGTGATCCTGGTCCTCTCCTTGTTTTAGAGGAGAATTCTGAGGAACCAATCCTTTCCCTGGTACCCTTTCCATTGCGGTCATAAGCTCTGCTCTCGCAGAGCCATCTTCAGTCTGCTGTTACTTCCCCAGAAGTCGGTGTCAAAAGTATTTTTGAATATAATCACTCATAGCCAGATAGATTCTTCCGGGTTATGATATCTGGTTTCAACTTCCATCCACTGAGCTATCTTATCACAATGCCACATACAAAAATATTTATGGTGAGGAAGTTATCACTGTTCACAATGCTACATTTCCCCTGGGAATGGATCAAAATTGCAAGAGAACTAGAAAGAAAAAGAAGTGGGAATTCATATCATATTTTCCAGCTTGTAAAATAGCTTAATATTGTTTCAAATTTTCCACTGTCATTGAATGGCAATAAATCTTTGCTTCTTTTTTTCTTTGGGGGAGGAGGAATTAATCTATGGTGGTATGGTCTGGAATAATATTATATTAACTCCATGTCCACATCTCAGATAAGGTACATAATATTTGATCTTCTCAAATTGATCAATACTTTTCTGAGTATCAGTTTATGCTAAAAGCCATTTAAAAAACCATGATGAAGTAAAAACATGCAAAATGATCAGTGGCTACATACCTGTTTCACCACCATATTTTTGAGTGAAGGATACAGTCCCATCAGAAGTAACAAAGAAGTTTCATCATTCAGTATCTGATGGTTTCCATATCTGATGGAGTTATATGAATATTGTTGCTAAATACCCATTTTTAACATAATCAGCCAGCCCAAAATAAATATTTTAAAACTTTAATGTTACATTTTATATTATAATACATGAATGAACAACAATGAAAACCCTTGGCAATTTTTTCCATTTACTTAGAGCAACATGGAGTGGCTTGCAAAGAACTATAGAATCAAGAGTCTAGAGACTTTTTGATTGATGGAAGGTTTCTCAAAGGGAGAATCCACTATTTAGCTTTTCTTTAAAAATAGTATTACTAAGCCATTTTTAAAATATACCAAGTCTTTATATCAGACTTTTTTTTTTAATATGACATTTTAAGATTTGGAAGATTTAATCTAATTTCTTTAGTCACAAATGCAATTAATGGAATTCCTGATTCCACATTCTTTTATTCTATTTCTTTTTGCTTTCCTTCTTTCCTCTAATAAACAAGAGAAAGTATGACATTGATATAGAGAAGGTAACTGGATCAAAAGTAGGAAGTGTAGAATAAGCTTTTTATATAAAATATAAAGCAACTGAAAAAAAAATAAGCTTAATAACAGCTAGAAAATACTTGACTTCCTAATGGATAATTTGGTTTTCTGTTTACACAAAATTTATATTATACCACTTCAGGTTTAGACTTCATTCTAATCTAAAACATAATTATCAACAAGAGCATTCTCCCAGCAGACATTGTGTCAAATTGACTGTGTAAATTGGTATTAGAACTGTAAGCATTAGCTATTGATTTAATCTATCCAATTTCATCTGTGCTAATAACTACAAACAAAACAAAACAAAATATTCTGTGGTATAGTATTTCAAAGTAATTGAAAGATAATTGATTATCTGTACTTAGTTTTGCTGTCCATATTTGAACTCTAGGTAGAAGTATAATCTAACTCTATTTGTAGCCAAAGATTTGGGATATATCTTTGGGAACAGAAACGGCTTGTTATCTATTTAGAATGTATGATTTGTCAGATGTGCAGAGAATGTACTACTTATTCAGAAACAATCTTTTAATTCAAACTTTATGAATTTTTATATAATTTTTATCAGGATGATTGGGAGATCTGTTTTTCCCCCCAAATCCTATTGGTATAAATTGCATTTTCTGCCTGTTTCCTAATTTGGTCAGTGATTTTTTTTGTTTGTTTGTTTTAGTCATTGCGAGGTTTGAAGGGGATGGTCACTTGTAGTGGATCTACAAAATCAGATTTTCCAGTATGACGAATTCTCATTGCCTGCAGAGAGCGTGGACAGTATTTCTAAGATGAGCATCTGCCTCCGAAGTTCAACATTGGTGTCACCAGAATGTTTGGTAGGCTATTGCATTGCTCTCACTCCGAACATGTAAACATTTTTACTCCTAAAAATGGCTTCTACTAGAGGAGACTATGATTCAGACCATATTAACACACTTATTGAATAAAATAAGGCTTATTGAATAAAAGGCTTATTGAAAAAACAGTAGATAAACTTGTCTAATCAATAGATAAACAGTGAATCAGACTTGTATAATAAAAGCACAATGAGTTTGAAATCATGAAAACATACACACATTTAAACACAAACACAGCAAGTCCATGTGCAACAAAATAAATAAAAAAAGTACAACAAAAAGATATAACTATCAGCAATGAGCCTACTGAAAACCATTGGGGTGGGTCAATTTTAAATTCTGAACTACAGAATTACATTCTGTAGTTTGGAAGAAATGTAACATAAGACTGTTTGGGTGACAATGTTCTCAGAACAACCTGTCCCATAAACATTAATAACTGAGCAAGTCAGTTCACAGGATGTGATCTTTTGCAGTAGTGGCTACTATTTGTGTAGAAGTTATCTAACCTTTTAATTTTGTTTTGGAAAACTTTTTTTGTTTTGTTTTTTAAGATCCTCATACTGTTTTGAACACACAGTATATCCCAAGGCTCATATGGGCTTAAATGATGGTAAATTGAAATCAATCGTTTAGGACAAGAAATCTAGAAAAAAAAAAACTCATTTATATGAAGAGTGATTTTATAAAATAAAATACTGAAATTTGGATTTCATTGAGTATACTGCCATTTTGCAATTTTCATAATCTATATTCCTTTTTCAAATGATTAAAGGAAATATTGATAAGAAGCTGATCTAAAGAATTAATAACCCTTCTTCATATTATATTTTTACCACAGCAATTTTACCTGCAACTTTCATACTGAAATTTTCCAGAGAATTCATGTTGTCATGTGTATAAGAGCAGGAAGGTAAAAAAAAAAATTATCTTTGTCCCAACATTTCTGAAATGTACCCTGCAGCCTATGATGTAGAGAACACTGTACAACTATTGTGAAATGGAGCCAAGGTCTTGCCATGGTGCCAAAATGGTAATTTAATAATTTTATAACTGTGCCCATTTTTAAAAAAAAAAAACTTGGTCAGTCACACTCCATAGAGAAATTAAAGCCAAAATTATAAAGTTGAAAGTCAGGAAAGGTAAAAATCCACCATTATACAATAGCCGTAATACAGACAAAGGAAAGATACAAGTTTTACATTAAAACATTCTAAATATGTTAATACATTTAAAATAATTTATATCAAGGAATATCATAGCAATACTTGTTATAAATATACCAATATTGAAATAAAAGTTCATTTTATAACATTTATCATTCCCTATACACTCAGTAGGATTTTCAACTATTAATTTATAAGAGTATTATCTGTGATAAAATAATATATTTAGATCCACAAATGAAGAAAGTTTCCTTGGAATAATTCCCCCCCCCAATTAAAAAAAATGAAACAATACCTGAAACCTCATTTTTTATACATTTCTTTAGAAATATTACAGCTATAGAAAGTATATGAGATTTATTCAAGTTAATTGATTAATTATGTGCCGTCAAGTCATGGTCAACTCTTAGTGACTGTACAGATAGCTTTCTCTAATACGTTATGTCCCCAGTCTGGTCTTTCAGGTCTTCCAATGGTGCACCATCGCTCCTATAATTGAGTCTATCCACCTTGCTGCTACTTGTCTTCTTTTTCTCTTTCTATCTTCCTTTCCCAGCATTATAGAATTCTCAATTATGCTAGATGTATGCATAATGAGTCCAAAACGTGATAATTTGAACCCAGTCATTTGTGCCTTGAATGAGAACTATGGACTGATTTCTTGTTATTATGGACTGTTTTCTTATTTCTTATTATCAATTTGTGGGTTTTTTTGACTGTCCATGGTATTCTCAGTAGTCTTCAACAATTCAGAAGTATCAATTCTCTTTCTTTCCTGTTAATTCAAAGTCCATCTTTTGCTTCCATAGAGGGAAAAGACTAGGAACACCACTGTCTGCATGATTCTGATCTTTGTAGATATAGACAATGTAATTTTGTCTTTGCACCTTTGGATTTTCTTTTTCTGCATGGCAGCATGTTTCAAAGGTTTTAATCTAGCCATGTCAAAAATACATTAGTACTCGAAAGATCCTCAGCATTTCCTCAGTAGCATGTTGAGTGTCATCTGATCTGTAAGGACCATCATCTGGCACTATATCCTCAATAACTTTATATCGCTTGACCAGGAGTGGTTTACCATTACCTTCTTCCATGAGTATGATACAATGCCTTTGCCACTGTTGTGAAATGATCGTCTGCTCACTTGTTATAGGTGTCTGCTTGCTTTTGCTGGGTAGTTGGGATATCCTTCATGCCATGGCTATGTCAGCCCTTTGAGGTAGATCAGCCTGAGAAACCAAAGTTATGAATGTTAATACTACTTTAATGTAGGATTACAGTAACAGAATCTTGCAAGTCTGAATGTGCCTTTCCCCTCTTGCCTTTATATTTAAGAAAACTAGGAAGGATCAAATCTGAGACATTTTCTCAAACTACATTTCTGCTTTGGACTCACATTTCTTTTATCTGACGGTTACTGGGTTACGCTTTTTCTTCTATTCCTCAAGGTTATTCTTACAGGTTGACTTTGCTGGGATTAGATAATCTTGGCATACACTCCTAGCATTCTTCACTCAACTGTCCCAGGAACACACACACACACACACGCACACACATTAATTAATTAATTAATTAATTAATTAATTCATTCATTCATTCATTCATTCATTCATTCATTCATTCATT